CTTTGTATTTTATTTTGACTGCTTTCAATGCGAGTTACTCCCACTGCGTTCAAGGTTATTATACATCATTAACCTAAAACAAAGAGGTCATGGCATTCTAAACACTTTCAACAAAATCAATCAACATTATTTTCCCTTAGGAGTTCGGTAGAAACGTGCATCTAAATCCATTCAATTTATACGTCAATATATGGTTTAGAAGCTGAATACAGGGAAGTAAAGAAGTTTAATTTTACAGTGTGAAGAACTTCAGAAAGATATAATTTTCTCAAGGATAAGCTGAACGAGGCATAAATAAGCCTATTTCTCACGTCAGTTTTTCCACGATGAATTATATGTTACATACAGATTGCGATGACACTATAATATAAAATAAAAAATTCATGGAAATCTCAAAAAGAAAATAGCTGCATGTCAGCCTGTTTCCTGTAAAAAATATGAGATTTGGTAAAGATTTGGTAAAATTAATATCTTAAATAGCATCTAGAATTGATGGGAAAATACTGTTTATTTACAAATTAATATAATTAAATATATAACTTTTAATAGCATATTTATTTTACGAGAAATAACGTCAAAAAGTGTGTAACGAAACTTACAGCGAGTATAGCAATATACTTTTTAAATAAAAAGTAATTAAATTAAATGAATTAATTTGACTAAGATATTAGAATTAATTCAAATCTATTTTTAAAATTTAACTTTTGAGATGACATAATAGGAAATCCTTTACAGTAACAACAAAAGATTCTAGATACCAAAAGTATTAAAGAATTATATATTTATGATTTTTTATTATTTCGTAGCCGAAAAGCATGACTGGAAATATAAATGGAATTATTAAAGACATTTTAAGATATTAGTTTTTTTAGTCCAAAGGGGCTTTGTCCCTGAAAGAACTATTATTTTCGCTTTGCGACTATGCGTTGGTTCACTATAAATGTCCGTTTCACGTTTCAAACTATTGCCACAAAGTAGTATCGCCTTGTGTTATATTTAAAGAAATTAAATCATGAAAAATCTGCATAAATGTATGTATATTTCACGCATTGTGATAAAACAACGGTACATAAAGCCATTGAATTTTGAATGACGTAATCGCCCTACGAATATGGGCATCTGGAAGCCCACATTTGAAATCTGGAATTTGTTTTGTGATCAATTTCATATTTTGTAAAACTTTAACGAATATTTGATTAACAAACTCAAGGATTTCAAAGCGAGCAATGGCAATGTTGTACAAGCGCGTGAGTCTCTGTATCGGAAATTCTAAAGATATGCTCATTTTAAAATTATTTTGCGATATTGCTGTTGAACTGAATTTTATGGTTTAAGTGCGACAGAAGTGATACTTAATAAATAAATGTAACTTAACATGTTAAAAAAACACCCCTTTGGACGTAATTTAAAATCCAAACCATCTCAGATTTTTTTTTTTTTTTTTTTTTTTTTTTTACTGAAAGAGGGAGCTATGTTATGTATAGAAAATAATTTACTCTGGCATCAATATAATTTGTTTGTAAAAAGTTTCAGCATTCCATCACAGCGAAAACTAAATGTATTATTCTATAAATTTAATCTTAAAAAAATGTAATTCATCATTAGCACATAGTTTATTTATAAAAAGTTTCAAAAAGGTATTGGCAACAAGAAATTAATAGTACATCTTCGAGCTGTGTTCTCGTGACTGAAAACTTTTCAATAAAAAGAAAGATATTTTTCTAAAAATGATATAGATGCAGTATATTCAATTCTAAAATGTCATTCTTGATTTTCTAAATTTTTTTGTGTGTGGTTAGGCCTCTGTTGAATTTGGTCAGGTATGTAGCGATAATGTTATTTTCTTTCTTTCTTTCTTTCTTTTTTTTTTTTTGTTTTTTTTTTGTTTTAATAATATTTTCTTAGCATTCTTTAACTTTTGTTTTATATTTATACCATTCTATTGAAAACTATATATGAGCCAGTTTTATAATTATTCCAAGACCATGCTATATCTGTAATTGAAATTAAAGTATGTTCTTGGGCTTATACTGGTCAATATCACTATATTACAGATCGGCCTGTTGGAAACAAATAGCTGTAAAATAAAATACAGTCAAAAGTCGTTAATTCGGACACCCATAATCCGGAATGATCTATAATCGAGATCTCAAAGCTAAAAACTTTCTGCGCATGCGCCGCATTGACACATGCGCATAGGCGTTGATGCGTGCGCATAAGACCTTTACGACCGCGCATATGCGTGTACGCAAGCGCAGAATACGTTTTCGCGTGCGCGTTTTATGTATAACATACGGTATAAGCTAAAATTATCTAATTATCTATTTCAGTGAACGTTGATGATTGCGTTGTTCCTTAATTTTCAAATTGGATCCGGCTTATTATTTTTTGCAGACTGTAAGAGCAATTTTATAAAAGTAAACTTGAACTTTCGATTATGTCAAATAGAATTTCCGATGCTGGAGCTTTCAAACGATCTACAAAACGAAAGTATGTTTTGATGTCCATCAAACAAAAAGTGGAATTGCTGCAAAAAATGGATAAAGACATGAAGAAGGTGACAGAGAGGTTAGTGAAAACGAAAAAATTTCGATTGACAAGTTAGTCGGTATTCTGGGCACAGCAATTACATGAACAGCGGAACTTTGTAACTGAACAAGAAATTATGTCTGTTTATAGAATTAAAGAGAAAGTATTATCACATAAAACGAAGCAACTTAAGCAACTTACATTGAAAGAAATGTTTAATAAAGTAAACAAATAAATATTAAGCATTTTTTTTTGTAAATTTTGATACCCTATAGATCATAATTGTTCTTTATTTCATAAATTACGGTTTCATATTTTTAATTTTAGAACTTCTGCATGCCATCTTACCAGATTTAAACTGATGATCTATATTCCGGAAAAATCGATAATCCGGAATCGCCGAAGTCCCGACGAGTCCGGATTAACGACTTTTGACTGTAGAAGAAATTTACGCAGCGTCCAGTTTAATCTTTTGTGTAGCACATATGCTGTATTACTTAATTATCAACAGAATAGAAAATAAAATCTTCCCAGGAATCCTTCCAAATTGATTCATTGCTGAAGCTTACTTCCTAAACGAAGTGCGAGTAAGCAGTCGATCGCAATGGTTTTTATGTAGCCATAAGGATTTTTGGAAGTTTATGCACAGCAGGTATGCGCAGATCTATTGAAACTCAAAGCCGAAAGCGATAGTGAATTAAGCTGACCTTCAGTGTCGATACTGGCATCAAGGAATGAATTGTATTCTGTATAGACATTGCATAAGCTTATCTTCGTTGATTATGATGTTAATGCGATGGACAAGGGATCACAGAATTTGTATTTGAAATTTTAAAGTTGTCAGTCGGAAGTAAAATGTTTCAGATTTCTTTTTAAAGATACGTTTAGTGTTGAATTTTTATTCTTCCTTTATATACCCGTACAGAAAAGAGTTTAAAAGCAGTTCTGATGGAGAGAAATCCTCCTGTCTTCCAAATCAGCCAGAAAATCGCTGTCTTCCAAATCAGCCAGAAATTTTCCATGAATCTAATACGCCTTGGTTCGGTAAGCTTATGGAAATGTCCTATCGCATGCTCGAAACCCATAGTGCTTGAGTTTGTCTATTAGATAGCGCTAGCATACTATTAGCATCTGGGATAGCGTAGAAGAAATGCATGATGTAACACCATCTGGCATAGCGTAATTAGTATTGCAATGCAGAGGTTATTAGATCACATTTCGACTATCAGGTGCGATGACACATTCTAAGAAAAGACACTTGGGCTTCTTTGATTAGCAACAAACTCCTATCATTTCACGTCCACCTTATTCGCCAGATTTCTCGTTTTCTGATGTCCCTTATCAGCATGGTTCTGAGTGATTAAGGTTACAGCAGGAACGATGGGTTTTACTTTAGAGATAACTAAATTATTTCACTTCAAATATAACTGCTTCAACAATTGTACAAAAGTACTACGTCCTTTTCCACATACTTTTTGAATATAGGCGTATTTAATTACTTTTTGAATATAGGCTCATGTATGCATGTATACGTAAGAATATATTAGGAAGTACTGGTTAGGATCTGTACCTAGGCAGTCTCAACCACGGGGGTATACAATCAGTCTTCACAGGACTAGAACCCGAGTATTGTACTTAGGTTGGTTCAGGCTTGGCAGGGACCGTACTGGTACTGTCGTGTCTGTTCCTCTGGCTGTGGTGGAGCTATATGGTTAGATTTTCACGACCTTCTCGATGGGGGTTTGGCTCTCAGAGTCCCAGTGACGGGGACTGATGGAGTAAGACAAGGCACCTAGACGAATTTATTCGATGCCGAGGGAATGGTGCCCCGAGGCAAAGATGTATTTAGTATTAAGTTCAACGTTTTCGTACTTGTTGAGGCTACGTATAAAGCCGGGCACTAATTTGTACCTTACTATACAAATAGCCTTCCCGAATATACTACAGCGATTATGTGATTGACAAAATGTAACTACGAATTTTTTTAATTTTTAGTGCAGTTAAAATTCCTTAAGAGAAGAATGAATAGCAATAAGTATTTTACATATTTTAAGAAAGAAAAGCCTAAAAGAACTTTTATATAATTACAGTGAAATGTAATTAACTATTGAAATTATGAGTTTAACCGCTAGACTGCTAATCGGCGCAAAAGCGCTGCGTTCATTTGTCTCGAAAACCGCTGCGAGTTTCAGTGTGTCTTTGTTGCCTTATAATACGAAAAGAATTATTTAAATTGATTGATATTTGTCTAAATGAGAGTGTTTTTGCAATTCTCCAATTTACATACTTGAAGGAAAAGATATTAGTAAGAGAAAATTTTATCATTCTATTTTGGTACAAAAGTTTCAATAAAGTAATTCGGATTTCAGCCATAGAATTAAATAATATAGTAGTAAAAGCTCTTAACTATATTTAAAATTAAATATAGTTAGAAATAAGAAAAGAACGCAAGAAGGAAACTTGAAGACAAATAAGTTACAAAATATTTATTATCAAATTTCTTGTAAAGCTATACCACTTTCTTATTAGTTTACAAACTATACATCTATATTTACATTTATTGGTCCCTAAAACAACAGCGTTCACTGCAATTTTTTTGATTAGATCAGGTCACTTCTTTTAGTACACTAATGTCAAAGCTGCACGGCATCTGTTCACGTGCGGTGTTTTAATAAACTAACTTCAAGTTGGGGAGAATGCATGCATACTCAAAACTTCACATAAATATTCAAAGTCATCAGCAGAAGGAAAGCATATTATTATCTCAATTCGCTCATGTTCACATCTTTCTACATTTCATTCTAAAAGATTTGTTGTTTATTTAATAATAAGATTATATAATATATTTCACAATTAAACTTGCTGAACAAATCAGTTGTTCTGTTTGACTTTATTTGCCAGCTATCACGTGATTTCCTTATCGCAGTATCTTCTCATCTTGCCAATAAGAGCAATGAACTTTCACAAATATTTGCATTTTGCTCTAAAATGTTTTGTGACCTTATGATTTTAAGAAATTATCACATTACCTCCGTTTTTTTTTTCAAAATAAATACCATCCAAATTTTAAAAAAAGGTATTGGAACTTTATATTACTGGGCAAACGTAATATGAAAACAAGAGTAGGGTTTAATAACTTAGTTAATACTTTATGCAAAAATACGATTATTAAACATGATTCATATTTATTTTATCTATTCAAAATGAATTCTCTTGAAAACTATACATTAAAATTTCAGGAAGGTATAAATGCTTAGTAGTCACAACAGGCCAGAAACGTGAAAGCAAAATGAAATGAGTCTAGAATTCAGAGTAAATTTCCTAGGGTATGTTGAAAAATATTGGTACTAAAACTTATTATTATATTATTAAGTATTATTTGTTATTTCTGTGTTGCAGTAGCATTTTAAGAATTCAGACAGCTGGAGTTGGTTGTGCAGTTTCTTTGTTTTTGCCTTTCCATGCGAGAACATGACTTTTCATTTGCCCATATAACATACTTTTCCAGTTTCATAGGTTTTCTAGAATTTGATTTCCAGCTGGCAATAATTTTCTCAAATTTTCGGTTACGACACTGCCTGCACCTTTTTCAAATGCTATCATACACATATGTGCAAAGAAGTGTAACGTAAGTTTCAACTTGCTATAGTCGATAAAAGTGATTTTGAAAATTCTCGGTGAGCGGCTATTCGTTAGAGAAATTTTCGCTGAATTCTTTGTTTTTTTCCTTCCTAAATCTTCATTAAAATAATAATTGGAAATATAATGTTTTGCATGGAAAAAAAAAAAAAAAAAAAAAAAAAAAAAAAAAAAAAACTACAAAGTTTCATATTTTTGAAATGAAGCAATTGCAGCTATCATAACCATGGCATTATAACGATATGGTTTTTTATTGGTTAATTCCGCAAAAACACTCCTTGGAATTTTCCTCTGTGCTAATGGGGATAGCTGATATAAAACCAGTCAATTAATTTTTGTAAGCAATTTGTTGACATGACAGCGCTTACGGTTCACAGTGGAAAAATGATCTTCAAGGCATTAATTATTCCTCATCTGTTTAGATATTGTAAATCTGACCCAAATCTCACCATTTTATTTATAACTGTACACATAAAATAGTGAAGAATATGCTGATTATCTTTATTTCCTTTATTCAAGAGCCACTAGTATGCATGGATTCATTACGCATCGTAATAATTTAAAGGCGTTTCTACGCTTGAGATTCTTGAGGGTAATCCATATCTGCTTGAATTTCTTCTTGTGTTCGTAGATCAATAGCGAACTTCCTGGGCGGAGGCATGCCCTTCACCGATCTGCTATAATCTTGAAAAGCCTTGGCCAAGGTCAGGGTTAAGGACCGTGCATTTTGTCGGCTGTCACAGACGAATGCATGGCACAGGAAAGGATGCTTCTCAAGCATGTTGCCGCCGTCTCTAACCACAATCATTGCAAAGACCCTAGTATAAACTAAGTCTTGCACGCCATATGATATTGATTCAATAGGGTAAAGACCCGATTCAAAATTGGGATTCTGATTTTGAGGCATGGCGGAGAGATGAACCCCTTTGCCTGATACCTCCAGCCGTAAGTAGGGTAAAGTGACACCAGGCTGAAGTGCTCGGGCTGCTGCAACAAGTTCATCCACAGGGTGGCGAGTATGTTTGATACCCCATAGACCTCTTGCGTCTCGGCAACCAAGATACTTCACGACGTAACTCTGAGGCAAAACTATATCCCCTGTCTGTCCTAAAAAGAAAAGAAATGCAGAAATAATTATTTCAGAAATCTATTTAAGAAAAAGCAAAAATTATGAAGTTAAATTGTTTAAGAAGAGTCTAATTTTAATGAATATCGTTTCTGCAGCTTTCGATAAAATAATAACGTTTTAGGGCACTCTGCAATAATAATAACTTGGACTTATCGGAAACAACTCAGCTAGAATAAGCTTGCTGAACAGGGAAATCTAACTGGCAAGTACGCTAAATGGTACGTAACTGGTTAAGATTGCTTGTACTTTAAAAGTATAAAAATCGGTTTTGTAACCAATTCTTTAATATGAACTATGTTGGACTAACTGTAGCAACGGGGGTGCCCTCTGGTGAGTAGCCACAGAGAAATACTTCAATAAAAGCCAAGTGATGAGTCTGTTAGGTTGTATCAGACTCTTATTCAGTAATATTCTTAAAATTAAACGCGATGTCCGTGTGTAACTTAAGTCTGTTAATAAATTATCGTTACACTATAAAGTACTCTTTTATGACCTCAACCAAAAAAGACTCCCCCTCTTTACAATTGCAATAATTTATTAACAGGTTTAAGTTACACACGGACATCACATTTAATTTTAGGAATATTACACAGCAAGAATCTGATACCACCTAACAAATTCATCACTTGGCTTTTACTGAAACATTTCTCTGGCTACTCACCAGAGGGCGCCCTCGTTGCTACAGTTAGTCCAACATATTTATATTAACAGCGGATGTTTTATTTAAGGATTGGTTACAATTTTTTAATTCTGAGACAACAATATCATTGTAAAATTACTTCTTTATCATATTTTATGAGGAAAATTCACATGCACTATAATACAAGGCAAAAATTAGGTAGTTTGTATGAAGCGAAAGTCCTTTTAATGCAAAATTTAGAAATCTCTCAATAAATTCGTATCCCATATTAAGAATTCTTGAAGTTTTGTGAAATCTAATCAATGACAGGCAGTTTCACTTTAGCGAATTTTACTGTATGAAAATATTTTAAAACGGATTGACAAAAATTAGTCCCTAAAGTTGGATTTCTTATCAGATATTACGTGAAATTTAAAGAATTTTGAAAGTAGTAGTTTAACTGTTAATAAACGAAAATCTACCAAACCTACATACTGAAAAAATAAATCTCTTATATGCTTATATTAAAAGAAAGTAACTGAAAAGTGCCAATAATTTTATACCCTAGGTGTTTTAAACTGTGAAAAATGAAAAAGATGAGTTCTTATTCAAGTAAGATTAATTAAGAAATATTTTTAGTTTAAACAGAAAAACTTATTCTAGCATATCCGCACTTCATTAGCATTCAGCAGAGAAACAACTTATGATAAAACTTTCCGAATAGTTAACGCGAGGTAAAAAGATTAAAAAATAAATCAGATAATTTAAACGAAAGTTTCTTCTATTCTGTACCACTACAGTTAATTAAAGCTATGACTATTACGTAATTTGATTACAGCTAATATCTATTACATAAAAAAGAAAACCCTGCAAAACAAATATTCTTTTAAGTTGGACAGAACATATTGAGCCACAAAAAAAGCGCTCTGTATTCAATATATAACTGGCACTAACTTAGAAGTCAAACAACAAAAACCAGCGTTCTAGTTTCAAATTTTCACAGGACTAGTTTTGATGGTTTTACCGAACCATTATCCTCAGCTGCAAAAGCGCAAATGAACGAGATAAGATATAGTGATTAGTCAAGATAAGAAAGAGTGGAGTAAAGCTACTGGCGCCATCTGCTGATGAAACCAGACCTAAAACATAATTTCCTTAAATGCTAAAGCCAAAGATGGATTGGAATTAGGGTCATTAACTAGAAAAGAAAGATTTTTTTGAACGTGAAATGTCTCTAGAAAACACAGTTCATCAATGGAAGAACTTCGTTTTGTTGTTTGACTTCTAGACTTGTTATTCTCCGTTGATTTACCCTAAGTCGCATTGGCAAATTAATTACGAATCTTAGAAGTCAGCTTTTGTTAAACACTAAAGTTTTATTTAAAATGTGAAACTTGGATCAGTTGAACAAACTAAAGCAAAATTGCAAAATTTAGGAACTCTATCAATTCATATCAAAATTATCCGTTACATATGACATTGATTTTTTTATTAATGAAAGATTTTACCACTTACAACCTTAGTGTTTTAAAGAATAATTGCCCTCCCTAGGTGTGCTCTTCTGGTATAGTAGTTAGCATGTCCAGCTAGACCCGTTCCAATGCCAGTAAAGGCGCAGTTGATTTTGATCAGAAATATCTATTAGTGATTTGGTTAGAATTCGGAATTTCACTAAAGTCTGCAATTTAATTAGAATAATGAAACTAATTATTTTTGTTGATGTTGTTGCTAATGCTCACTTAATTGACCAGCCCAAGAACATGAAATTCCTTTTGGCAAGGAAGCAAGATACATATGTCGTTGGCAACAACCTTGAGCACCTTACAGGTGACAGTGCGATTTAACTCAGTTCCGTTCCCAATTTTGGAGAGCACCCAGGGGGGACGGGTCACCTCTCTTCCTCTACCACCAACTTTTCGACAGGACTTTCGGCTTGCTGCATATTTGGAATATCCCCATGCCGCGCGGACACTATACATTTACAAACATCCATGCCATCTCCGGGATTCGAGCCAGGGCCCTTCGGCACGGCAGTCAGCGGCGCTAACCACTATACCGGTTGGGCGGCACTAATTATTTTTAATGATGATATTTAAAACAACATGTGCTGACGTATGGCCAAGTTGTTAAGAATACTGAATATAAATTCCTGCCAACGAATTAGCTGCTGCTATGATTTCGCAGTTTTACCTGTGTAAATAATTTTTTTTTCCAATTTTCCTTTCGTTCTCGAAGACGTCTCTTCTTCTGTATAGGTAGCTTCCGTGTACTTCGCAATATTAGTTAAAAAAAATCTTATGTGTACACCACATGGCTTCTTTCTACGGAATATTAAATTATACGCATTTTTCTTACATTTTATTTAAACTTATTGAATTAAATCTACTTCGTCGATAGCGCATAAACCACAATTGAATAAATGCACTCTTTAAAATTCACTATATTTGTTTACCATAGCGCTAGGTTCACTTAACAGCGTTATATTTCGTTCATATTTTAACTCAGAATGCCCAAAATGTATATCAATTGAAGAATTATCTAATCGTTCCCACATGTTCTATTGAAATACTATAATAAATCTAGAACGATTCATAAAAGAAATAAAGCAAACAAAACAAAAAAGAAACAGTTTTTCACAGAGGATTTACTATTTCTCATTCAATTAATTCAATTCTCCCTTCGCGACAAGGAAAAAATATATAAAAACTCAAAATATCTACATTAAAAATTACCAAGTAAATCTTAAACACTTATTTCCTCGAAAAAATTCCAGAAAGGATTATTTTTATTAATGATTTAATTAGCAATAATAAATGAAGGCATTATCATTGCTGTCGTATCTTGCTTAGTCTCTCTAGATTAACAACAAATCTACTATTCTGTTGTTTCAAATGTAAACAAATATGTCCGCCATGTTATTTGAAAATTAGGCTTAACCGCACTTAAACAGCTTTTAAATTGTTGATAATTGTACAAATATTGCTTGCATATTTACTAAAGGCATAAAAACCTTAACCGGAAGATAAGAACAACATAATTCAATCATTTTTAAAGCAAAATATGCACAATTTACAAACATATAAGAATAAAGAAACTGAGGTCACTGAGCGGGGTAACAGAGTGTGGATATATATTTATATAGGTTTGGTGCGGCGGATTGCAACCAAAATACGAGGTGCACATCTACATGTTATAGCAGTCCATTATACAGAATTTCAACGTTCTGAGGTTACTCGTTTTTGAGTTATGCGAGATACATACGTACGTACGTACAGACACCACGAAAAATTTTCTTCAGAATTCATTTTAAAGCAGTTTTATAATTTGTTTGGGGGAAAAAGAGTCTTTTATTCTGTCCTTACGTACAGATATCACGCAAAAACATCGTTCAATTGCATTCGGTAGCGATCAAAATGGATATTTTCGTTGAAATATGCTTCCTGAAGCTTTTCGTGATTATAATACAATACTTCCTTACTTCGTAGAAGGAAGTAAAATATCATATAACAAATCCTCGTGGCTCATTTTCTAAAGCAACAAGTTTTTAGGGAGTTTTCAAATAAAATGTGTTTCTTACAACTGTAAATGGAGGAAAAGCATGAATAAATTATATTATTAAGTTTATTCACAATTCACTTTGCCTATCAATCATTATATGCTGTTGCAAAATTTTGCTCTAATTTACACAGATCAAATTAAATAAATTAATTATCAAATTAAATTAAAATAAAATAAAAAAATAATTAAATTAAAGATCAAATTAAATTAAAAGCACTTTATTTCATTTATTAGTAATTAATTACTGCCAACATGCTTTGGAAATGAAGCATTTAATTAAGAAAATTAATATAGTTAATGGATGATGCATTTGTTCTCAAATCATACTTTGTTGAATTCACTTATTTTCAATTAAAAATTTAAATTTAATATAAAAATGCAACAAACAAAAAAAGGTTTGTTTACATCCGTCTACTGCCAAATTATTTAAGTAACATTTATAATTTATTGAGAGGTTTGTTTGCTTGCAATGTTTAGAGATAGCACAAAGACATGGACTCAGACTAGGTATTTTGCATCCCACTCGACCCAGATTTGCTTAATCTTAAAATAGCGACTCAAACCAAATCCAAGCTTAAAAGTTTTATATAGATGGGAAATAAATAAAAACAGTATCTTATTTGCACATTACTTTTGTGATATATTTTAACTAAATAACATCCCTGAAATACCTTTTGAAAGTAATACAAGGGACAGACATTGGAACATAGTTCCAGTGTTAACACAATAAGATCTTCATATTTTATTCCTTTTTTTTCCTTTTGTCCAATTATAGAAAGCTTAATACAGCATTACACTAAAAAGTTGCGTAGCAAAGATTTCTTCCTAATGGGGTCTTTATTTTAATGATGTTGCCACCGCATCAACAAAACTAACGATTTTGCACAAATGTTTCCAGAAAACATTGCTTTTCTCACATATTTATTTCATTTTCTTTAGTTTCTTTGTTCCCTTTTTCCTCCAAATGGTGACGTTTATTATCATTAGACACGCAGAATTAATTGTGCATGCTGTTGAGTTTCAAACATGAAACTGGGCTGTGGATCTAGTAGCTTTAAACTAAATGCATAATTAATATATTTTAATAGATTTCGGAGCGATAAGGTAATGTAATTCACGTGTAAAATTATTTTAATTAGCTTTCAGTTATACTTAAACACAAGATGCTTCTCAAATTCGTAAAAATTAAAAAATAAATCCAGCTAATTTGCAGAAAGGAAGAATTTTTGCAGGGCAGGCGGGGATAGTAAATATTTAAGCCAACATTTCATCGACAAAGAGCGCTGTTATTGTATTGATAATAATAGTTAAAGTATCAGGGAGAACGATCATGATTTATATGCAAGCAAAAAGGAAAAAAAAAAATGCTACTTGTAAAAATAATCCTTCAGAGTCTAGAGACATTAGGTTATTTCGAAGCAGGAGACATGAAAGAATGAGCAATGCCTCGGACCTCTCGAATACGCGCCGAGTGTGCTGCCCATTACACACGAAGGCATGCTAAGAAGGCGGAAGAAATACCTTTAATATACTCCCCCTTTTAAAGGGCAAATGGGGTTCAGGGAACCCAATCGCCACACGAAGGCATGCTAAGAAGGCGGAAGAAATACCTTTAATATACTCCCTCTTTTAAAGGGCAAATGGGGTTCAGGGAACCCAATCGCCAAATCCTGGTGGTGGAGAATCATCACCTATCACCTTTTAAGTTGAGGCACTGTAGAGTCATTGTAGAATTTTTCAAAATAAGGAAATCGAAGAAATGAGCACTGCCCTAGCCGGGACTCGAACCTCGAACCTCTCGAATATGTGCTGAATTTGCTGGCCATTACGCCACGAAGGCGGGAGAAATACCTTATTAGAGTGTTCGTCAACAGAAGGGGTTTTTAATACCTTTTAATGTTATTCTGATTGCGACAGTTAGTGTTGATGCGGAACGTGCGTCTCGTGTCAATGAAAATCGGAACCAGATATTTGCATTTTGTACCCTTCTTTCCCCTCCAAAAATTTTCTTATGATTTATTTTCATCCAAGTCACACTATGTTACGATCATCTGATCGATTTTCAAGAATTTTTGAAAATTTTCTGACTTAACAAGAAAACATTGCTTTTCTTACATATTCATTTCATACATTTCTTACATATTTATTAAGTATACATATTTTCAAACTAAAAAATAAGAAGAAAAGCACATTTAAAAAAAAAAAAAAAAAAAAATTAGCAGTTGACAAAAAGTGAAAGTAGATAAAAAAATTTAGCGCAGTTTAAAACTGAAGCAAAGTTACTGTCTCAACTTGAAGCTCATTAGACTGTAAAGATGAAAATAAATAATGGGGAACTGGCTATCGGCTTCAGTAGATTAGGTTTATTTAATTACACGATTTAACTCGTTGTGGCACAGTATGTCCGATTTGGACACACCTAAAACTCTCCTTCTGTATGCACAGAAAAATTTGAATGAAGGATTTGTAGGTTACTCTTAACCTTCTTCATTTATAGTACATGGCAGCTCAACACAAACCAGTCCTTATATTTTAACCATGTTTAGTTTTTAAGACCCTCATTTTTCAGATTTTTTTAGGGTACAAAAGGAATTGTTTGAAAAGAACTTCCTATGTTATTTTTTTGGTTGTATGCTAATCTCCTTATTCTATATTAGTCTTAAATTTTTACCTTGAAATCTTGCTTAAAATCAAACGGCGAATCCTAGGTGTGCCCAGACCGGGCTCACCGATAATCTAGGACAACTGAGAGTCTGTATTCTTTGTTTCTCCGCATCTCATCGGTCAGTTCATTGACAACAATGCTCGTTTCAGCACTCTTTTCGAAGCTATATTCAATCAGTGTGCCACTTTGGGTACACCCACAGAATTAAAACGATAAGTACTATCTTCACAAAATTTTATTTGTGTACTCCTCTAGGCCTAATTAGACGGCCTACCTTTTTTTTTTTTTTTTTTTTTTTTTAATCAAAACTCCCACTTTAAAAGGTGGCGTGCCGGAAAGGGTTAAATAAAATTGTAAATTTTTATTTATTTATTTATTTATTTTTATTTATATAATTTTCCTATCATTCAAATTGAGAGTTAGTTTAATTTGACTATTAAAATTCTGATAGGGCAGGATGTTCAAGAAGAAAGAACTTCTAAATTAATTTCCATCTTTTCAGGTGCGCCGGAAAGGGTTAAGCGCGTGAGTGCTATCTGCTAGAGAAAGGATGCCTTCGTGGGGAACGCTTTTTCGGAAAACTTTTCTGTAATCTGCTTTCGTAAACAGATGGCGCTACGTATATTTTTTTTCTGCTCCGCCCACTGATTTAGCTAAAAATTTATTTAGTTATTGCTTGTTCCATTTCTATATATTATTTTTTGAGTTTGAAGAAAAAATTGACTGATCCAAGATTGCTTTTTTGCCCATTTAAAACCCGCTATAGGTGTTTCTAACTCTTATTCTCGGTAACAATGTGTATTCCGGTTTAAAAAAATATGAAATGTTCTTAAAATATATTCTTTTTAAGACAAAATTTAATAGTTGCACGCAACAGTGACTGCCGTTCAAGCTATCATATTACAGATATTCTTTGCTAAACATCACGCAAACGATCACACATTAAAGATAATTCTGTACAACTGAGTGCACGATTTATGGCACTAGAGATGTTTTACATTAATTTTCAATGCTAATCAAGCTAAACTATTTACAATCCAGTTACTAAGAAAATCCCAATTTAGCAGCAAGTATTTGATACTTAATGTATCATGTATAACATCGTATAGTAAACACAAATTGCCCTCCTTTTCTCTCTCTCTCTCTCTTTTTTTTTTTTTTTTTTTTCTGATTAATAATAAGGAAGAGGTACTCTTCGACTGAGAATATTAGAGAAAAAACAATTAATAACTACTATTTTATACAATTATACGCCCTTCACTGCAGTACACGCTGCAAGAAATATATACCGGTGTGTAGCCGCCACTTATAATTTCTAATTACATTTATTAATTTTAAAGCATATTCGCCGTATCACGCGCCCCCTTCTCTTTATGAACAAACCTGAAAGATACATGTCTTTTATCTTTTCAAGTCATTCATTCGAAGATTTTCCCCAGGCGTTTGACAAGCGATAAGGGAAACAATACGTGTGTAGGGGTAACTGCTTGAGGGATTAAATAATTCTGCAAAGGAGGCGAGTTGTATTCAATGCAGGTGTTCACACGAATGTTATTCTAGGGTTTCGAGAAGCGGAGGGACAGAATTTGGGGTAAGAATAAACTTTTGATCCGAATGAAGTCGCGGAATTATGAGTCAGGTCTCTTTCTGTACTCATTTGAAATCGTGATTTTGAAGTGAACATTGAAGGTTGTAGTAAATCGCCATTTGCTTTAGGAAATACAATTGATCTAGTGTTCATTTTAGTAGTAAATATGGCTTCTGCTAAACGAAACAACACAGTGCTGGTTTCAAATGCAAAGTCAACCAGTTTGCGAAAGAAAATGAAATCGTGCTACAACACGAATGTTTGGTATTGGTTAAAGATGGAACGGATGATGATTATTTATTTATTTATCATATTAGCAGTGGTAGTGAATATGTAAAAGAATAAGGTGGTGTGCGTGAAGATATAACGGAAGACGAGCACGACAAACTTTTCAAGCTATCCGATTGTTAAAGTTATAAAGTAAACTATGTCATTTCTTTTAAATAAACAGCATTTAGGTACAAGTAAAAATCTAATTTTTGTATGCTGAATTTTTTCTTTTAATCTATCGTTATACGCTAGAATATACGATAATTCAGTTAAAAAAAAAAGGAAAATACCGAAAATACGTTTAAAGACATTAGGTTATTTCGAAGCAGGAGTCATGAAAAATACCTTCACCGGGACTCGAGCCACAGACCTCTCGAATACGCGTCGAGTGTGCTTACCACTACACCACGAAGACATGCTAAGAAGCGGGAGAAATACCTCATATACTCCCCCTTTTAGAGGGCGACTGGGGATTAAGGGACCCAGTCGCCAAATCCTGGTGGTGGAGAATCATTATTCACCACTCTTTTTAGTTCCGGCGCCACTATATTTTAGAACTGTATCTGTAGTCATGTTAGAATTTTTCGAAATAAGAAAATTAAAGAAATAAGCAATGCTCTTGCCGGGACTCGAACCTCTCGAATACGCACCGAGCGTGCTGGCCATTGCACCACGAAGGCATGCTAAGAAGGCGGGAGAAATACCTTATATACTGACTTCGTAGGAGATGCATAATGAGAAGTACCGTACAGTTTAAGGAGTGGTTACTTAATAATGCTAATGGAAATTTATTACATTTAGGTGACGAATCACGCTTGATTGCTCTCATTGGTATCCCACGAGGATAAATTTATAAGTAATAAAAATATATCACACAAACAGTGTAACTACTTTCTTCATCGTCCAGAAACGTTTGACCTGACGACGCCCGAGTAACAATCGAGTCAAGGTCGACTTCTATCGCATCGACCACCGACCGAAACAGGAAACTTAAGTTCCAGCGCAATAAAACAATGGCTAACAAAAAAGAATGTCTGAAGCAATTGTGATGTAACGACTTGTTCATAATTATCTGATCCATGAGAAGGGGATTTCAAGGTAGTCCGGGATTAGGCACCGGCTGAGTAAGCTCTTATGAGCCAGATATATGTCTTTCGCTTAAGAAGTTTTATTTTGGAGGGTTTTCCCTGGCGAGAATATTGGCGACTTTCTAGGCATTTATTGACAGCGTTTTTGTGATTTATGTTGAAAGTTTCGGTCCGATGTAATGCTCTTGTTGGGGGTTTCTATTCACGCAGTTTTCAATAGAAATGCTACAAGCGAGGAGATAAATGACATTGCCTGAAAGTGGATCTGACAATTATAGTAAAACATCTGTAATCGAAATGGATATGAAAAAATAAAAAAAAAAATTATTCTTAGCATGGAAGCTGGCTTAGGAACAATTGCACATTTTTGAGAAGTTAGGAAATAAAATAATTCATAAGCCTCAGAAAAATATAAGCATTTTGAAATTATATACTGGAGTTTTAACTAAAATAAAATTTATAAAAACATGTAAAGGAAAAATAAACATCTAATAGGTTTCAGACTTTAAATTACTTCCAAAGGAGCGTTTTTTTTTTTTTTTTTTTTTTTTTTTTTTTTTTTTTTTAAATTTTGTGTGTTACCTTTATTTATTAAATATCATGTTCTTTGCCCTTAAACCGTAAAATTCAGGTTAACAGCAATCGCAAAATAATTTAAAAATGAGCCTATCTGTAGAATTTCCGATACACAGTTTCGCGCGCTGGAGATAAAAATGGAATTTTTTCCCCGTACAGAGTTGCCATTGCTCGCTTTGAAATCGTTTAACAGTTTGTTAATCAAAAATTCGTTGAAGTGTTACAAAATATGAAATCGATAATAAAACAAATTTCAAATTCAAATTAGGGCTTCCATATGCACATATTCTATGCATGATTACGTTATTCGAATTTTATTGGCTCTAGGTACCGTTGTTTTATCACAATGCAAGAAACATATATACATTCATGCAGATTCTTCATTATTTAATATCTTTAAATATAATACAGGACAATAATATTTGGTGACAACAATTTGAAAAGTAAAACAACGCTTATCGTGAATCGATGCAAAATGCGAAATCGAAATCAATAGCCCTTCTCGGCAAACTGCCCCTTTGGACTAATAATTTGGCATAAAAAATGTCAAACTTTCTTCTAAAAAATTCTGTATTCATCAACGTAAGTGAATTTTTTAAACTATGATATTTCGTCCTTAATTTAACATTCAGTGACAGTTGGAGAAAAAAGCAATGATCTTTTCTTCTAAATTTATGCGTTGCAATATCACTAAATACACAATATCACTAGGACAAAGAAATCGTCCACAACATTGTTATTGAAAGCAAATATATTCTATTTGTTGTAGTAAATTTAAAATCTTATTCTGTGTTAAACCAACTGAGCTTATCTAATTGAAATTTGTATATAAAATTTTATGAAAATATACTGTAGAACTTCATTGTTAAATGTTACGTATTATAAAATTTATGAAAATGGTAGAATGGTGAGCTAAAACTAGGTATTTGCAAATTTTCCAGCGAACATTGGACATCGAAACAATTATGTGCTTCTTGGTTTAATCCTTAATGGTCACCTACATATTTGATCCTTAAAAGGTGACTGATGCTTTTAAGAATAAATAACCTTACAAAAAAAAAAAAAAAAAAAAAAAAAAAAAATTAAGATTTTAAATTACGTCCAAAGGGGCGTTTTTTTAAACATATTGTGTGTTACATTTATTTATTAAATATCACGTTCTTCGCACTTAAACCATAAAATTCAGTTCAACAGCAATATCGCAAAATAGTTAAAAAAATCTGATGTGTACACCACATGACATCCTTGTACGGAATATTAAATTATACGCATTTTTTTCTTGCATTTCATTTAAACTTATTGGATTGAATTAAATCTACTTCGCCGACAGAGCATAAACCACAATAGAATAAATGCATTCTTTAAAATTTACTCTAGTATTTGTTTACCATAGCGATACTCTGGCGCTAGATTCACTTAACAGTATTAATAATTATATAACAGTTAACTTATATAATAATTATATAACGGAAACTAAGTTAACTGTTATATAATCCAATAATTATATAACAGTTAACTTATATATTTCGTTCATATTATAACTCATAATGCACAAAATTTATATCATTTAAAGAATAGAATTATCTAATCGTTGCCACATGCTCTATTCAAATACTATAATGAAGCTAGAATGATGTATAAAAGAAATTAAGCAAACAAAACAAAAAAGAAACAATTTTTCACAGACGATTGAGTATTTCTCATTTAATTAATTCAGTTCTCACTTCGCGAGAAGGCAAAAATACATAAAAACTCAAAATATCTATATTAAAAATTACGAAGTAAATCTTAAACACTTATTTCCTCGAAAAAATTTCAGAAAGAATTAAGCACGATTTAATTGGTAATAATAAATGAATGCGTTATCTTTGTTGTTGCGAAACTAAGTTTCTCTAGATTGGCAACAAATCCACTAGTCTCCTGTTTTAAGTATAAACATCAATGCCCGCCATCAAAAAAAGGCTTAGCGGCACTTAGAAAACTTTAAAATCGTTGATAATTCTAAAAATATTGCATACAGATTTACTAAAGGCATAAAAACCTTAACCAGAAGATAAAAACCACATAATACAATCATTTTTAAAGCAAAAAATGTACAATTTACAAAAATATAAGAGTAAAGAAACTGAGATCACTGAGCCGGGTAACAGAGTGGATATATATATAAATATATTTATATACGTTAGCTGCCGATTGCAACCAAAATACGAGGTGCACATCTACATGTTATAGCAGTCCTATATACAAAATTTCAACGCTCTGAGGCTACTCGTTTTTGAGTTATGCGAGATACGTAGGTACGTACGCACGTACGTACATACGTTCGTACAGACGCTGCGAAAAATTCTCTTCAGAATTCATTTTAAAGCAGTTTTATAATTTTTTTGAAGGAAAAGAGTATTTATTCTGTCCTTACGTACAGATATCACTCAAAAACATCGTTAAATTGCATTCGATAGCAGTCAAAATGGATATTTTCGTTGAAATATGCTGCCTGAAACTTTTCGCGATTACAAGACTTCCTTTTACTTCGTACAAGGAAGTAAAAATGAGCGTATCTTTAGAATTTCCGATACAGAGACTCGCGAGCTGGAAATAAAAATGTTTTTTCTGTAAAACGTTGCCATTGCTCGTTTTGAAATCCTTGAGTTTGTTAATCAAAAATTCGTTAAAGTTTTACAGACTAGGAAATCGATAATAAAACAAATTCCGAATTTGGCCTTCCACATGTCCATATTCATAGGAGGATTACGTCATTCAAAATTCGACGGCTCTATGTACCGTTGTTTTATCACAATGCGAGAAATATACATACATTTATGCAGATTTTTCATTATTTAATTTCTTTAAATATAACACAGGGCGATAATACTT